ATAGGACAGGATTTTACAGGTCTTTGCAAGATGGCCTAAAATAGCATTGTTAAGGATCATTTGGTGCCCCTCCCAAGCCGAAATGCCCGTAAAAACTTTTTCACATAAGACTTCGGGAACTTGACATTATTCAGGCTACAACCTTTGCTATAATGCACACCTCAACAGGCGAAAACATTCATTAGTTTGTCTTACAAACTTCCTAATTCACAAAACACGGTTACCATAAACAAGTTAATGACGAGGGTAAAACGCGAGACTTGAACAAATCACTTGGTAACCTGAGCTGATCTCAGACATTGAAGACAGAAGGTCACTTACTGATACCAGAACAATTAGACTCATAAAACATTCGAGAAACAGTTATGACAACATTTACTTAGATGTCGTGACAACTGCAATAAATTACGGGAAACATAATGATATAGGTAATGTGAAAGCAGATTTTGGGGCATTGGAACCTTCAAAACACAATACTAAAACGATGCACATGTAATAATCTCACAAGAAGGAATAGAAAATTCATAAACGACGTATACAAGGGGAACCCATGAACTTACCCTACTTGAAAACACTTTACAGGATTGTCTAGTGGCAGAGCCATGCTACGACGCTTTTAGTGCACCTCTTCTCTCCCGCCTGTTTCGATGTAGGCAGGAAGAGGCAAGACCTCACCAATCACATCGTGTCTTAGGCTCCGCCCCCCTGCACCCTGAAAAGCCTGTTCAGTACATGGGACTCTGCGACAAGTACTTGTTGTGGCTCTACGTTGCTTGAATATAAAGAGAACTACAGTAGACTACTCTAAAATAACGAATGGAAGTGACCGATTGAATGTCCTTAACGGTTCCTTTGCGTGGGTGATCGCAGGGTAGTGATTGAGATTAAATTAACAAGGGCTTCTTCGGTAAACCTAGTACTAAGCATTTCGAGCTCAGCATTTATGAGCAGTTGACAGACAGATTTCAAAATCACCCAGTCCTGGGCCAATTAACCGGGTAGTTGCACCCATGGGACCCGATCCGCTAACTTGAAGACAATTATCGGGTGGTAGCTCGGAGTGAGGCTGCAAAGTTTTTCGGCCGTGCAAGGCATGGGGACGTCAAGCTGACACAAGAAATTGTACCACTTTTTATGAGTCGGATAAAGTGCTCCTCGACATAAGTGATTCTAGATGGTTTGTTCCATTTGTCGTTACTTGCTGTCTCGCCACCAGACGATTACCATAATACGCTGGTGGCTTGTTCGCTCTGTTCATCGACACAGCCCGTGTGTGGCAAGTTAGTTTAAAGGAGGAACAAAGAAGCCTACGAAATTGATTTCAGATGCAAAACGAATAGTACTAAATATTGTGAATAACCTTATTCAGACGTAAAACCTGAACAGAAGCACATTGTCGGTATGGGGAAAACGTTGAAGCCAGCGTGCAACCCCAGGGGAGTTTCTTGATACCAACAGCATCAGCACATTGTAACCCTTCCCCCCCCCTCGCTTCCTCTCCTTTTTCACAACCTACCGCCGCTCCGACCCCTACGCACTTGCCTTCTACCCGAACCCTTGAATTTTCCTGGCTGTCGAGCGGCGGGCGACAAAGCCTCTGGCTAGGGAATGTATATAGTGCACCTGAAGCGGGGAAAACCGGACTTGAAAGGGGAAAAATCAACCATTAAATCCCGTGATCAAATCCAACTCGATGGGACTCACACAACGATGCTGTGCACGGGTCTGAATTCATCTCGGAAAACTGCACTGACTTCCATCAGAACCGCCTACCTTAAGTAAGGCCACCGGCGCTATCTCAGTGAGAGGATGCCGACAGGCGGCGCGAGCGACGTGGGTTTATGGCGTATCGAATGAGGGGCGCAGACAACAGTAACGTGGAACAGTCATAAAACGCTAGCTTCCTCACCACTAGCACGTACTCCTGATGCACGAAAGTGGTACATTCCAGCGGTTGGCCTGCTACTGCACACACAGAGATGGATCCAACCTCCCGAGTGAACGCACAAAGTGTCTTTGAACGGGAATTACCGCGATAGTTCAAAAATCTATTGCAAAACCAAAATACTAAAACCTTTGCAATTCCGATTATGATAGACGAAACGAGCCCGAATTTTGCACTTCAATGAAAATTGAGCAACACATTTTGTTCTCTGCGCGGCAGCATCTCCAAACGCCGTTTAAGACTGTTCTACACCTATGAGGAACTCTATTTGGCACTAAAAATGAATCGGCCGTCGTGGACGCCGAACTCGGCCACGAGAGCTGACACTGGGTTCATCTGGGGGTGAGTCCTCATCGCTTTCAACATAATTTATAGCAGCTACATTTCGACGAGTGTTACGCCCTCTGCGTGAACGGGAAGCCTCATGATCGTCATCGCTTCCAACTCGGCGGCGTTTGTTTGAATTGCTGGATCTGGTGGAGTAGTGTCCATTCGTTCGACGTTCAGATGGAGACATCGACGTCGTTTCCGATTCTGAATGGACGACAATAGATTATCTTCGAACATGAAATATTCAGGGGAAAAAAGGTAGAAATACCGTTTAATATGATCTCACAAGAGGTCCGAGACAAGAAAACACCCACCTTCACTTAGTTGGCGAGCTTTTCTTTTTGGCCTCGTTCGAGGTCTTGGTTGCGGCTCCTCTTCCTCATACTCGGAAAAATCTTCGTCCTTAAATCAACAGAGTAGTGAGTAGAATACGAAACAAGACCTGTCGCAGGATCGTAACTTAAACCGCATCTCCAGAAAGATAGATGATCGAAAACGGGAAGAGTATAGAATTCAACTGACTTGGTGGAAGGGCTGAGTGAGAATGTGGCCAAGCGCCCCTCGCAGCCATCCCACCAATGAGGCTGACAACACCCGCCTCCAACAATCGCGCCCATTACTTTCAAGGGGAAAGAGTCGGTACGTAAGGGGAAGGGGGCACGAAAGAATATTGTACCCCTGGCGCCATGGGTTGGATAGGGCGCCGCGTGCCAAGGCACCGTTATCGTTAAGGCCTAAACAAGGCAAACATGACGACCCAGACGTCCACCGTACTGCCACATAGATGCTCAAACTCGTATTCTTTATCAATCGACTGATATGAAGTGGCTGCATGCTGTGCGTGTGATGGATATATAAATACATATATGCGGCCAATCCACCGAAGTGGCCGCTGGCACGATGTTAGCGGAAACTCGTCCAAAACTGCTGTCTGTCTACCGTATACTCGTCTATTATGGTGCAGACCAGAAACTTTCAGTAACAATTAATTGTGCATTATGCCTATAGCTAACGAGAGATAATGCGCCATCCAATATAAGTAGGGGTTCAACACGTTATTTTTACATTTGTGTGAAGTTTTCACGTTTTCATTTTTTTACCAAATGTTACAGTTAGATGGTGACTGATAGCTGGAATAAATACTGTTCCGAGGAGAGGGCTGAGAAGAATGGGAGTTCATATTCTTAGATGCAGATCAACGCTAAAATGCACTATGAACTCACAAAATTACTCTGCAAAGGGGGATGGGGCAGACCCACAAATGAACAAGGCAACTATGTGGAGAAAAAAGTACCTCTGGACTATCGTCTTCTTCCTCTTCATTTTCCTCTCGATCTTGCAATTCTTCCGCATGTTCGTCATCACTTCGCACGAGAGACGATCTCGCGGATAACAACGGCGGCGCAGCCCGAGCAGGCGGACTAGCGGAATCGCTTGATAACTGGAAACACGAAAGTTGTAAACTTAGGTGGGAAACCGGGGATGAATTGCCTTACCAGTTGTCTCCTGCGAGTTACTACCCTTCTACTCGTGAATGCCTCTCGACTCGACGTCGACGGAGCGCTATCGTCACTGATCCCAGAAGTATCTTGAGCATGCATAAGAGAAGGTATGTTGGCCACACCTGAAAAATTTTGTTCCGTAAAAAGCCACTGATGAAAATTAAAAACTTTATTTGAACGAACTTCTTCGAGGTCGGGACGCCTGTCGTGGGGCTAGAGGTGAAGACATAGGGCTCGTTAACATAGGGCTACGCCGGCTCATACTACGCCGGGTGGTTTGCTCATCTGATAATCGTCCATTGGCAAGATCTCGATAAAAGCCTGGAGAGTTCTCAATAGGGCGTCCTGAGTGAGAGGTCGACGGCTGCTGTGGATCGAAGTTGGCGGTGGAGTTACGATCGTGACTGAAACGCAATGTTGGTCCTCCGTAATGAAGTAGATCTTTATTCAAGGCAATAAATAACAAGAAAGCTAATTATAGACCAACCTTCTGGTATTATATTTTGACTGGAATCGTTCTTTGCGGCTTCTTCGTCGTAAGCTTCTACCACCAGGATCAATCAAACTCTTCCAAATTCTTTCGAACTGGCTCAAAACTCCACGCATTCGTTCAGCAAAAAGACTCCCCAATGCCAAGCTGTCGCGATATATCTGTAAATGAACAAATGCATGAGCTGATACTGCACAGCACGTCCTGCCGTTGTGAAGGATCATTGCAGAATGCGGCCCACCCCTCCTAGTTTTCTGCTCTAATGGGACCTCGTCCCTGTCCTGCTTACCGTGCACAAATTTTCCCGACTTCCAAGCAATTTTGCAAAGCTTATTTCATTTTCCAAAATTCCGCAGTATTTCTCCCACAAAGGATATATACGTAGTCCATGTGAAACGGGAACCACCGAGAAAAGTCAGCAACCGAGACTACTTTTAATACATAGGCACCTGAAACGAAACACCTAGAAAAGCCAGCCAACCCCAGACCTACTTTTCCAAAAAAAGGGCCAAACATGAGGGTGTGGCAGACTTCCTAGCGTACGCAAACGTTGAGAGGGAAAGCGGAGCTTGGTGGAGGTGAGGATTCGACAGCCCGCATGTTGAACTGAAACTGACCGGTGAGCGTTTGTCGTCTATGTTAGTTTTGCACGCATGAACCATTTTCTCGACGTCGGCAGCATTAGCCGGCGTCGATGTCACCACCCTCCCAGCATTCAAGCAAGAGATGTGACCATCAACAGTTGATGTAACGCTGCCCGCCAGATCTGCCAAAATGAGTATGTTCAGAATAGTCGGCGCCGATGCCAAGATTCTGAAAGACCGGGTGCCCTCGACTGCCATAGGGCGCTCATGCGATTGCTATACCTCAAACAAATGCATTCTGCTTATTCATAATGCTTAAATTATAGCGTGGCCTAATAAGTAATGCCGTTTTTTTTTCTTTCTCAATTGAAACAACTTCTTCGACACAACGAAAAGTTTGCAACGCAAGTTATATATCATCTGAAAAGAAACTCTCGTAGTATAAGAATATCAAAAAAGCTTTGGTTGAGGATATAGTTTTTGTGAATTTTTTAGTCGTTGAAGTTGGAAGTGAAGTCGGCGAAAATTAGCATCTTCGACAACTGCCTCTATTTACGTCTACTCGAAGCTAAAATCGCTTAAGCTGCTCCATACATTCGGAAAAGTTGAGGTCAGAAGACCAGCAAAGCGAATCTCAATAGGAACTAATTTCAAGAATTTCAAAGTTGGCAACCTTCACCTTGCCAATATTGGGCAGGCTCACGTCTGTTCCACCTGAAATTTCATGCTAATAGTAACAATGAAACACGTGAAAGAGGCGCCAAAAAATTTATTGCAAAAAACTCAAAAGACTCAAAAGAATCCAAAAGTTCTCGCAAAAAATTTTTGTTTCTAATACTTCCTTCGAATATTTCGGTGCCTAGCACCTTCCTCAGCGATCTAAATACTATATTAGTTCCTCTCAACCAATTCCCGATCTTTTCTTGCAGAGGACTAACTATAGTATTTCAGATCGCTGAGGAAGGTGCTAGGCACCGAAATATTCGAAGGAAGTATTAGAAACAAAAATTTTTGCAAGAACTTTTGGATTCTTTTGAGTCTTTTGAGTTTTTTGCAATAAATTTTTGGCGCCTCTTTCACGTGTTTCATGTTCAGATTACAATGAGGCTCCGGGACAGCACCATATTACGCTAATAGTTAATTCACTTGAAATTGGAATTTGATATCTCATACACGAGAAGTTGCCCCCTACTTAAACGATATAAGCATTCTTGCCCAAAACATTTTACTTTTCCGAAACAAATTTTCGGTTGAAAAAACGCATTACTTATTAGCCAGCCCACTGCTAGTGGGCTGGCTAATAACTGCTAGTGGCTGGCCTAACAAGTAATGGCGTTTTTTTCAATTGAAAAATTTGTTCCAAAAGTGAAAATTTTGCAAGCAAGCTTAACATCGTTTAATAGCAAACTTCTCGTAGTATTAGAATATCAAATTCAAATTCAATTAATTCAACTATTAGCATGAAATTTCTAAATAGAGGCAGTTGTCGAAGATGCTAATTTTCGCCGACTTCACTTCCAACTTCAACGACTAAAAAATTCACAAAAACTATATCCTCAACCAAAGCTTTTTATATTCTTATACTACGAGAAGTTTCCTATCAGATGATATATAACTTGCTTGCAAAACGTTTCACTTTTCGAACAAATTTTTCAATTTGAAAAAAACGGCCATTACTTATTAGCCAACCTAATATCTTTTGCTGCCCAAAGGAGCGCCCCACAGACGCCCACTGATAGAGCAACGCCGTAAGCCTGATTATGGCAATATTGACTAAAAGAAAGAAATAAAATAAAATAAAATAGCACAGCTTAAGCAGAGCCTGCAACAGAGATAACTTAGGAAACAAAGGTCCGATAGCTCTGAACTAATCAACCGAAGGCCAGTTCTTAGGACAACTTAAATAAAACGCTTTATAACTGACATAATACATTTTTACGGCTTGAATGCATTCCAATCATTTCCGGCGACGTCCAAGAAAAACTGTAAACTGACCTCCCACTGCGGTCCTTTCCATACGCGAGGTGAATGGATCCGCAGCTGAAGTTGCGTTTCCGCTGAAAGTACCTGAGAGCGGGGCTGGAGGATAGTGATACCCGAGTGTTCTCCGTACTCCCCCTCCTCTCGCTATTTACGAGGTGCCGCAGCTACGTGGATAGGTCCCGCAGCAAAACAAGCACTTAGCGGTAAAGAACAACCAGAAGGTTACTTGCGACTCGCCGTGGAGTGATGTAGACAGGACACTCGGTTTTCACCTTCCAGCCCCGTTTCCGTGCCTTACTGACCAGATAAAACGACACGATACTGCAGCTGCAGATCCATTCAGCACAGACATGACAAGGATTAGGATCCACATATATCAGTGTATAATTTGTCTCTGACACTTTTATGGTGACGACGGGTATCACTTTCAGTCTATTGAAACTTTTTTTTTTCTTTTGACTTTGAAGAGAAGAGCGAAAATTAACAATACATAAAACGAGCTAAATCAATTTTTCAAAAGTTTTCACGCCATTTCCAGATTTTTCTTTTCGCACTGAGCACCTTCATTTCCGGTCAATCTCA